TTAAAAAACTTTTCAATCTACACTCCTATACAAAATAAATGAACAACGTCATCATCAATAGCAACATCATCATTATCATTATCTTAAACTTAACTATCAACTTAAATCAAATTGGAAAACCAGTTGCATTTCCAAAAACAGCTGCATCAACATGCCAGGGCACTTTAACATTAAAATCACACTCCTCTACCTTAGGAAACATAAAAGACAACAATTTGTGAAACAATGGTGAAAAAAAGAAGATAATCACTGCTTACTAATAAAGGTTATTAATGGTTAAAAAAAGGAAGAATAAGAGAGATACGAGAGAAATAAAAGAGCAATATTAAATGAAATACCACAAACAGTAAAAGAAATACATAATTAATTTGAAAAGAAACGAATTAATTAAAATAGACTCAAAAATGCTAAATATTTTCCAACACTGTTCTATTCAAATTCATACACAAACACACACACGCTACTTTTGTAAGAACGCAAAAGGTAAATGAATTTCAGAAATAATACTTTGCTAAAAAATAAGAGAACTCCAAGTAACAGTACAAATAAACTCTGAGGAGAGTCTACAGGGAGAGATACATTTTAAAAACGATCGAATCCAATAAAAAAAAAAATAAGTGAGAGTCTGATCAAGTATAAACAAAATACTTTTGCGCATTAGTTTTATTCTGTTGTTTATTTTCCTCTACAAATTCGTATTTCATTTATTTAGAATCGAAACAAGAAGAAAATGTAATAGAATGAAGAGAAAAAAAATACTTAAATGAATCTTAATATTTAACAAAAATCAAAAAAATCAAAGTACAGTAGTTTTCCGATTTAACGACCATTCAATTCTACGAACATCGCATTTAACGAACAAGCTAATTTTTCCTATTGACTACCTTAAATAACGAATAAAACTTGTTTTTTGTACTCTGTTTAACGAACTAATAAAAATATTATTATTTAAATGAAGATAAAATGACATTTATCAAAAATAACAAATAACCTAAGTTGTAGCGGTGCTTTTATACCCAAAACTGTAACACATTCTGGGTTCTTATTAAATTTTAGTTCGATGTAGCTATGTCCGTCCGTCCTTCAGATAATGACTTTAACGCTCATTACTCGCTTAACAATACGATTAAATTCGATTCAAACATGTTCTATACTAACCGAAATCTCTAACAAATTTTATGGGAATCGGTCCATAATTGACCTTACCCTCCATATCAGGCCCCTTAAGAAAATTACTTCAACGCTCATTACTCGCTTAAAAATACGAGTATAGCGATGAACTTCGAGAAATAACTTTAACGCTCATGACTGAATTAAAAATACAGCGATGAAATTCGACACAAATATGGTTTGAAGGTGGGTATAAAAGATCCGGAACTTTGTGTTTTGTGCTATTTTTATAAAAAAAAGAATTAATTTTTATAAAATACCTATTTTTAATTATTTTCCTACCAAAAACCCATGTTTTAGTTAGTACTGCATATAACGAACTTTTCAATTTTACGAACAGGCCTGACAACATATGGGTTCGTTAAATCGGAAAACTACTGTAAAAACAAAAATAATAAAAATGAAAATAAAAAAGTGATTGAAAAGGTGAATAAAAGGTTTGTTGTAGTGTTTGAGATGGGTGAACTTTAAATGAAAAGCGGGCCAACAGAAAAAATATAGATAATGATCAAGAGCAAAAAAGGAACTACTAAAATATCTATTCACTACCACAACACCTGAAGATACATGATTGTTTTTTTTTTAATTTTGTGTGAAGGTCGTTCAAGAACAGCTGTGAGTTGCGATAACATCGCTACCTAGCAGGTTACGCCAGCGATAAATACCATTTAGATATAAGTGAACGATTTTTGGAGAATTGGCCAAAAGTGGAAATAATTTACACGTAATAGATCAAGTACTTTAGCTGTAGATTACAATTTCATTGTAATATATCACCAAAAGTACTTGATCATGAATTTCTAGTGTGAATGATAAAGATAATAACCATGCACATATAAATACAAATGTCTCATTCATGAAGAGTTGTTACATCCAATCAAATGTACTCCATAAAATTGCTAACATTGGATTTAATTGGGAGAACCTCAGGATTCGAATTCAAAGTAATATGATCTCCCAACAACATTTAAGTCGTTTCCTTTTACCGACATTCCATTGTCAATGCACCGAACGGATTGGGTCTTTGTTCAGATTAAACGTATCCATAGCGAAACTTATATCGCTGCAAATGTGGAACCACACGAACACTGCAACTGCGCTTAGGGATGGCACGGTTGTGGTTGTTTCGAATGAACAGATTCCGGATAGTCTGATATCTTTCAGAGAGTATCGTAAAAATGTAAAACCCTAATGAAATGATTACATTGCGCGACATTGTCCCATATTTGACCACTGTTTTGGTAGATATAATCATATTAAAAATATGTGTTAGGGAGGTTTCAACGGTCAATAGTAGTTCATTTTAATAGCACCTGCCCCATAGATACATGTTATCTTAATGGACTTTCATTACCTCGATATTATTGCAGTTTTGCATTAAAGAGATGGTACTAGAGCAACATATGCCTTAAACTTTCATAACTAACCATACTTCTGATCGGGTACTACGAGTACATGTATTCGTTCTGTAAAAGTTATCTTCTGGTTCTGGAGGATCACGTGGAGATTGTGGTTTAAAGCCAAATCGCGGTAAGGAAAAGTATGTTAAAGTTCAAGACTAGTAATATACATATTTGGAACACCAAATATGTTAAGATGTGGTATTCCTAAACAATGGGAGAGATGTGTACTAGCGTTAACATAGTTCAAAGCTTGAACGATCACCTACACTCGCGGTGTGTGGAACCGTTAAGTAATTTGTTGACTCAATTGAACCGGGAGTAATGTGTGTGCATTGGTGACATTGAGTGTTATCCACCTAGAATGGATTCTATTCACTTTTGCCTCTTGTATTGTTGACTCTGCGAGATCCGTAGAGTCCGTAGGATCACGCACGAAGACTGACACTTCAGTGTTATCGGCATGTCATTCTACAGTTCCAAAACTAAACTAAAAATAAGTATTTGTTGCACATTATTTGAGAACAGGACCCCATGGATCTGATAGTCACTAGAAATTTGAAAATCACTTTTTAATGAAGAGAAATTACCGAAAAGAGAACTTTTTAGCCCATAAAAGTCAAACTCTGCAGTGCTTGAGTTGTTGAGAACTATGTTCTCATCGCGATTTTTTACTGGTAATCCAATCTTACGACAATTTGGGATGTTTCACCTAAGTAAAGATCTGTCTTTAGCGTTTGCTTGAACTGTAATGAATACTTTGCAGATCGAGAACAATTTTTGAAATATGGAAGTAGATCAACTAAGACCAGATTTGCTGAACATGAATGGATTAGATGGCATGATCAGGAGACCGACTGTTTGTGCTTCTTTCACACCGGTCACAATTTTTGTACATGGTTCTGAAGGCAAGTATGAATATCAAGTACTCGTTCTATCTAATCTCTGACCATTGCTGCCCCGTTGCTGAAAAAGTATCACTTCCGTTTACAACCACGCAGATTGGCCGGCCTCTGTTGATTCGTCAACAGCATCTAGAGGTGTAATAAGTAGATTGATGTACGAATTCTTCAAATAAGCCAAAGACTTGTTATTACTCACAGAAAACACACTGTTTTAATTTTCTTAGGAACAGAGTAAACCCTGAACATATCCAGACAAGGAAGGAAATTTCAATGGTATCACTTGTATAAGACAACTTACATCCATCACCATTCAACCCAACACACTTCTTATTTACCGAAACATTCATTGAGAAAAATGGGTTAGGGTCGCATACCACTTACATTCACCCGTATCATATACACTTGTACCCATCTCATTTCCAACACTTAGTCCCACATTCACTCCTCTGCGGAGTATATGTTGTCACGGCAACAGTACCGAACTTATCCAGACTTCTTTTAACCAACATTATCTTTCTGCGAGTTTGGGTTTAAACCACAGACAAGACGTGCACACCGAAGGGACCTCTCCAATAACTGGAACAAGACTAAGTCACAAACTCTGCCATGTGGGCTGCCGGTTCCCGCGTAATTGAATGTAATGCGCCCTGAATCGACCATAGGTCAAATTATTCCAAGTAAAGACCGATAATACATTTGAGAACACCAGTTTATAGTCCCGGAAAACTAAAGGTATTGGTAGCACATCTTTCAAAATATCTATTACGCAGTGTTCCAAGTTATTTCCAATTCACCGAAATTTAAAGGTTAAGGAAATAGAAATATCTCTAGTGAATCGATCACCATTAATAGTATAGGAAATCATCTATGGCTTTTCTAGCTCCAAATCGCAAAAAAGTATATATATTTTTATTTGAAAAAATAAACACAAATATTTTGCTTCTTATAAGAAATGTAAACATTGAAGTCGTAGTATTTGGATGATAATGAGGCAAAACCACGCTGTAAAATTTTCTAGAAATGGGGCCGCTAAAAATGAATACCTTTTCATGTGGAATGTATTTTATAAAATGAAAAAAATGTGAGAGTAAATCAGTATATGGGTTAAGACACGCATACATATACACAAATCAAAAATGGGGAGCTACATGAGTGTCTGAACTGGGTTCTCTTATTAACAGAGAGTTTGTTTAGAAATGTGAGGCAGGCCTTTTAATAAATAGTTGGGGCTGTTTTTTTCGTATTGCTCTTCGTTATATGATTCGTTTTCGTCTGTTTTCATAGCTTTTCATCGGATGTATGGGTTGAGCGTTACTAATACGAATTGTTGGGCAATGTTCGGCTAAATATTATTGTTGTTGTTGTTGCTGTTTGTGGAAGAAGAAATTGAAAACATTTAATATGGACTCAAGAGAACGAGTGTGTGTGTGTGTATGAGTAAAATGTGAGTATGAGTGTGCGTATGTGTATAAAGATTGTATTGGTATTTTAACCACTAAATCGTATAGCTGGTAAATAGCAACGAATCAGTTGTCAGTTCGCATCCAACTTGTAAGCAGGTAGAGACCGTATATAATGTTTTAAGCTTAAAAGCCACGAGGTCGTTTGTTACTCAAAAAAAATTTTTTTACAAAAATCTGGATTAATTCAACTACAAAAATTAAACGGTTTATAAACAAATATTACGAAATATTTTTCAAATTGGAATTGTTTTTCTTTTAATTTGGTTTATAAAATAATTTATAAATAAAGTATTTTATATACTTTTGACTAAATAAAGTGCTATAGTTGATGATAATTATTTGATGGTGGGTTAAGAGGTGTGGTGGTGTTGAGATATTTTCAAAAAAGCTTTTATTTTCTTTCTTGCTTTTTTTTTTTTTTTTTTTTTGAACTCAACTGATCAATTTTTGTATACATATGAATATTATGGGGATCGTAGGCAAATGCCAATATAAAAATGAAAACTAAAAAAAAAAAAAATAAATGAAAATAAGGCTAAACGATCTTTTTAATCGCTCAATATAAAAAAATTTAAAGAATAACGAAGTCATAAAAGAATGAAATTAAATAAAATACAACGAAATATGTATAAAAACAGACCTAAAAAGAGAAAATAAAAACAAAAAATATCAAATCAAAATATTCATGCTCATATATTTTTTGTACAATTTTCAACATTTTTTTTTTATATTAATTTCTTTAAACAAACATAAATTTTGGGTATAGAATTAAATAACAACAAAAGAAAACTAAAAAATTCTTTACAAAAAAAATTATAGTGATTTTAATAAAAATTTAATAAAATTCCATTTTAATATAAAAAAAGAAGAAATGATCATATACATTTTTTTTGCTGGCTCGTCTGTCTCAAGCAATCAACCTTAACTTTATGATAAATTTAAAAAAAAAAAAATAATAATAAAGAAGAGAGCATAAATATGATCACTGAAGAGAGTGCACATTGGTTTTTTTTACAGATTTTGTTTTAATTTTATTTTACTTGTTTTGTATACACTTTTTACTATCACTAAAAATTTACAACAATAATAACAAAAACAACAATATCGGGTATTTAAATAATAAAAAAATAAATAAATAATAAAAAAGTCAACAAGTTTAATTCGCTACAATTTTATTTTATTTTTGTTTTGTGTGTTTGTGTTATTTTTTATATAATTTTTGATTTCTTTCCTTGTCATTTCATTCGTTCGTTCGTTTGTTTCTTTTGAAAATACAAAAAAAAAATGTGTTCTAAATAAATAAAAATATAATTTTAATCAAAAAAATATAATATAATTAAAAAAATGAACTTAATATATAATATAACAACAAATATATGCGCAATAAATGCTTTAAATTTATAAAAAATATTGAAATTTTAAAATTTATAATAAAAAAAAACTTTTTTAATGACGTAAATAAATCTACAAAATTTAAAAAATTTAAAAGAACAACAAAATCAAAACAATTAAAAACTAAAATTTGCAATAAGATAATTAAAAAAAATTTTAAACAAAACAGAAACAACGGAAAATTGCAAACAAATTGGAACCTTTAGAAGAACAAGCTAAATCCTTTGTGCGGTAAATAAATTCAAAATATCGAGAGTAAATTAAAAAACGTTAAAATATTTATATTTTTAATGTATTTGATTAACAAAACATTTTGAGGTTTATCTGAACCTATACTAAAAGAAAAAAAGCTAAGCATACAAAAAATAGGAACAATAAAAAATTTATCGGGAAAATGTGTGATAAGTCCACAACTTTCTAATTGTAATTTAAATTCTGTAATACAAATGAAAATTTCTGAAATACAATTGAAAATGGTGTAGTAGAAACCATGAATATAACCTGTTCTTATTTTTTTAGATTGGCATTGAGACCAACGATTTCTGTTCAAAAATGTCACCATCGGAAATGGTTCTGTAGAAGCTTGATTAATCGTTTTGCGGATCAATTCAAGCAATATTTATTGCTTTAAATTATTATCGCCGGAACTATAAGTTCTATGAAATTTTTAGAGCACAATATTTTTAATTTTTTATGATTTTAAATCGGTTTTCGAAAGATATTCATAATTCTAGATATAGGTTTTTATAGAATTTTTATGATATCTCCATTATAAATTAAACAATTTTGCCGATTTAGTTTAGTTAGTTTGAAAGCAGATTCAATGTTAAATCAAATACGAGTAAATATACATTGGCCTCCATCGGGCCAATCTACAATAAAAATAAGTAGTCATGTATTCAAATCATAAAATCTGATTCGATCTGCGGCTAACTACGAAAATTAAATTTTTTTTTTTTATATTTATTTATATTGGGTTATCTTTTCTGAGTGAAAACGATGTGTTATCAAAGTGACAACGCTATGTTGACAAATAGAACATTGCGTTGTTCGAAATGATAACAATGCGTTGTTGCAATGAAAACGATGCGTTGTAATAACGACAACGGTGGTTGTCAAAATGATAACTGGGTGTTATTTAAATTTTATACACATCTGTTGTCTAAATGTTAACAATCGTGGTAAGATCACTTTTGACAACGGATTGTTTCAATTTTGTTACTTTTCTATCGGTTTTTCCCTCTGGCAGCCTGTTTCAAAACATGACAGATGTTTATATTCAAGATATGGATCACCAGTATAACTGGGACTTTCAGAAAATACAAATATCCTAAATTCATTCATATAGATTTATCATATCTCAAATATGTCTAAAAATTAAATTTCAATTTAGGTGAGAAACATATTAACCTCTACTATCTGAATTTGCATTAATTTTTCAAATCTCTTGATTTGAAACGACTTTTTTTTTTGATTCTGTCATAAATGATGGATACATTCTGAAGTCGAAAGTCGATTTTGTAGGAGCAAAAAGTTAAATCCGATAATATATATCAATAAATTTGCGTCAAAATGACTGATATCACGAAAGCAATTCAACCGATTTTCAATATGTACATATTTTGACGGATCAGAATAACTGTTGCCGCCAGAAAATGCAGGCGGACATCGCTTTAAATATTTGCATACATATATTCTGAAGCCAATTAGTCAAGAAATTTGCATCGAATGACTGATATTAACAATTCAACCGATTTAAAATACAAATTTTAACCGATTCCTGTTCTTCATTATCAAATTGATTTTTCTTACAAATTTACATCATAGATGTGATAAATCAACATCTGAATAATCTGCAATAGAAAACATACACAGAAAAAATTATCGGTAGTTTATTTTCAATTAACATGTTTTTCTCTTTCTTTAATTTTAATTTAAACAATTTTTTATTTGTCTTGATTATCTTATTGTTTAAAACCTAAGTTTACAAATTTGATTAAATTTTTAATTGATTGAAAAAAATTTTCTGGCCAACTTTTCTATTTTAGCTTTTTTTAAGTATTTTATTTTGATTTCTTATGCTAACAATGTTTATAATTCTTAAATAGTCAATAAGATTTTAGGCATATAATATTCAAGTTCCTTGACAATTTATAAAACACTTCATATGTTCAAATTTGATAATAAAGTGATATTTTTTGTAAATGCTCAACGCATTGTTTAAGGGTAAAGTATTCCTTTAAAACAAACAAATTCATTTGATTAATAAATTAATAAAAAATTAGATATTATTTTTATTAAATATTTAATTTATACAATTAATGAATTAATCAATTTTAAATTTTGTCTCAATTATCGATATTAATTATTCTGATTAATTATTTGAAAAAAGTATGTTTTTTTAATTTTTTTACAAATTTGATAATTGATATCATCATTTTGGTGATAGGTGCAAAACTTGCTTGATACAATTATTTTGATAATTGAAACATATTTTCAGTTTTTTCTGTGTAGTACTCCGATATGTTTTGCAGAAAAACTGTAGAAGCAACAAACTAGTGCCATGGAACCGGTTCCTAGAATAATCTTTAGAATCGCAATAGTATTCCAGGTATAAAGTTCACTATAATAATGGTGCTAGATTCGGTTTTAGGACGACAAAACATGTATGTGGGTAATCGGCAACACCAGTAGCTGTTCAGTAGTGAGCGCCAGAGAATCTTAAGTCCTTCTCTAGAATTAGTTATTTGAATTCAATTTCTCATATGGAATCAATTTCTCATATCAGGCTCTGGAACTAATGAGTACATCAATAGTTCCAATGCTGCAGTTCAAAAATATGAAGTGGATCTGTTCTAAAACTACATATTTTAGAACAAGTTCTATTTAATTGGGAAGCTAGTTATTAAAAAAACTTTAGAACCCAATTAGGTATCTTAATATTTTAGGTTTCCAATAATACTTACCAGATAAAATGCAAAAAACCTCACATTTTCTCTTTATGAAGTAAATATGGCGAGCTTTTTTAAGCTTTTTTCAAGCTTTACTTTATTTAAATTAATTTTAGTTAGTTTTGTTTATAACATATGTATATGATTAATTTTGATATAATTTCAAAGAACAATCTCTAGATCTTCAGGATTTTTAAAATTTATTCGAAAATCAAACTTGTATTTAAACTTTCTTAAAAGCTTAAAAAAATAATATTTATGTTATAAAATATCCCATTTCAAATTTAAACATTTTGAAAATATAAAACAGGATCGAAAATTTTAACTGCTGGTTCGAAAATTCAAAAGCTTGTTATTAATAAAATTAAGAAGATAGATATTTTTATTTCTTTTAAATCTCTCGGAAATTATATATATTTCAAAAAAACTCAAGTCACGTAATTTGAATAATAAATCCAAAAATTTAATGCAATTTTCAAATGTCCACCTACAAAAATTTCTAAAAAAAGAACTAAAATCTATAAAAATAAATATTTCTGCTAAATATACCTATCAAAAAGAATCACAAAATTTTACGCAAACCATACTAAAAATAATCAAAGAAAATATATAAAAAACTATATGAGAAGAAAACTAAGAGCATAAAAAATTAGAATTTTTATACGTAACAAATAATTAATAGAAAAACGCACAAAAACACAGAAACTAATCATAAATAATAGTGATAAAGAAAAATTAGAAAAGAAACCCCGAAAAAATCCATACTAAATATTACGTCAAAATAAAGTACGCAAAAAATTCAAAAAAAAAAAAAAACGAAACAAAGTGGTAAATAAAATAGACAACATAATAATTCTACGTTCACTCACACACACACACACACGAAAATAGGCACAAACACTTGCCCATATATGCCAATATACAAAACACTAATCACATGTAGTGCCCCTCTCTCACGATCACTCACGCCCGTTCCGATCACATGTGAACCGAGTATTTTTTGAGAATTTGTGAAAACAAATTAAAATAAATATATTAAAATTATGATTAAAAATTATTAAATTTTTTTGTTTAATAAAAATTAATCATTAACAATAAAATATTTATTTTATTCTCTTTATTTCAGTAGAATTATTTAAATTTAAAAAATAATATAGAAAAAAGTAAAAGAAAATTAAAAAAAAAAAAACAAATCAAAAATATTAAGATCAATAACATCATCATATTTATTATTTGAATCAATCAACAGTGGTAGTGGTTTTATTGTAGTGTTCCCCCCAAAATCAAATAAAAAAAAGTAATAATTAAATAAATAAAATAAAAACAGAAATATCAACTAATAAAACGAGAGTGAAAGAAAATTGAAAAGAGAAAATACAGCAGCAGGCGTTTATTGAATTTTTATTATAATTTAAAGAAATACTTTTTTAAAACGGGTAAGTTAAACATTTTTATTAATTTTTTATTTTTTTAACATTCTAAATTTCCAAAAAATATTTTAATTTATTAATATAAGTGACATAAATTTAAGGAAAAAATGTAAGAAAGGTAATTATTAAGTTTAACTCCGCATAACATACCGAAGGCGTTCATTACCGATAGTACGATCTCAAAATTCAAGATATTTAACAAAACGTTGGAACAAATCTTCCATTTACCCCAAATTTACTTTAATTGGTTTAGGCCACAAGCCTGACCGACTTTAAGAGATAACTACGATCATGCACGAGTTGTTCTTTAACTCAGACCTTATTTGCAAATTTTTATTTTAACAGAAACAGATATTTTTATACCTTCCAAAATAAAAGACCATAGTGCATTATGAAATCTGTTAAATATTTCTTATAGAACTTCATTGATATTGATATTTTTTGCTAAACTTCTAGTTTAGATTAAAATCATTTTTTATATAGGTTTTAGGTCCAACATGGCTCAAATATTACAGTTAACACTAACCTTTACAACGATTTTACATTTGTATAGAGGACTAGGTGTAATCGTGGACCGATATTTTCCATTATCAAAACCGAAAAGAACTATAAAATATTTGTAGAAATTTTCATATCTCTATGTAGCTCCTTCCGTTCGGATAGGAAAATGAACAAAGTTATCTAAGAATCTAATAAGGACTTTCGTGAGTCTATGACCAATATACATATATGTATGTGTTATATATGAAATGATAAAAGCAGTATTTGTCACAACTTTTATGGTGGAGGCCAACAAAAAAGTCAAAAATCTTTTCCAGATATCGTGTCATGAAGTTTGAAAAAACCCTGTTTTTGGACATATTTGAGTCGTTAATACCAATCTGTCGACTTTGAAATAGTTATAAAAACTCTTATATCTTCTTCTTTCTTCATAAAATTAGAGCGGAATGAAGTGAAAAATTACTTAAGTTTTTGAAAATTTAGGGTGATTCCAAGTTTTAGGTTAAGATATCTAGAAGAACTAAGGAAATATGGCAGAGATTTAATTTGTATTTTAAAGCCGAAAGTTAGGACTTTCAGACAAATTTTATAAATAAATCTGTCTTCACTCTGTTATAGATTCTCAAATGTGGCTAAAAACGGGGTCTTTAAACTTCATGACCTAATATCTGGAAAACCTGATGTAATGGATAAATTCAGCGCTGCTCAATCCTTTAGAAAAGTTTACTTTGGTCTTTGGATTAAAAATTTGTTAGTCTGTGTTATCTTCAGCAGCAGACTTAATACGTTATTTCAAAATAAATCTTTAAAATATTAAAATAATAGACCCGGATATTTTAAACATTGAATCCTAACCGCTTTAAACAACTTTTATTAATAATGAATGTATTAGAAATGCTCGAAAACCAGTCTAGATCAAGTACTAGTAATCAAAAAAACTATTTAAAAAGCTCGATCTCTTTTTTATAAACCGCCAATCTTTTATCTATATAAATCGTTATTTTTTTGGTAATTATTAAAATATTAATGACTTTTAATATTTATTTCAAAATAAAATATTAATTTGTTTTTAATATGAATATTTTTAAAATTTTTACTCTCTCTCTCTCTCTGAATAGTGTTATTAATTGCTTCCAAATAGTTGGGTTTATCCCTAATTATACAAATATAAATTAGAAAAAAACAAGTTTATTTGTTGATAAGAATTTAAAATATAGGAAAAAATAAATAAAAATAAATAAACATTTGAAAAGAAAAAACAAGGCTAATATCAGTTTTAGCTGTAGTTACTTAGAACGAATTGATAATACTCTACTTTAATGAATGAGTATTAAAAATAAGAGACTTAAACTGAGCAGACATGTTAACATGATCGGCACCGATTAAATCATAAAAAAAATGGTTTTCCAATAAATCCAGTTAATCACAAATCTAAAAATTCTCAAATCATTGTAGGGTCCTCATTAAATGCGTAAATGCAATGTTTTTAAACCTCAACTTTAAAACTTAAAATGACATATTTATGTTTGTAGTTTTTTCATTGTATGTTATTTTAAAATGTTTTTTTTTATTTTTTAAATAATTAAAAAAAGTTGGACATTTTTTTTTATTCAAAATCAGTTTTGTTTTTTTTTAGAAAAAAGTTGCTAAAACTGTTTTTTTTTTTAATTTTCTAAAATTTTATAAACTATTTTTTCTATAGATTTTTTTAGAAAATTCTTTTTCGAAAATATTATCAAAAGAGAGAAAAATGTTCTAAAAATGGAGATTTTGTAAAAATTCTTTTAAAACTAATTTAAACATAAAGATTTTTATACCCACCATCACGTTTGTAGCACATCGAAATATTGGTCTAAGACCCACAAAAGGTTATATATTCTGGATCCTTTCTAATACGTTCTAGCCATGTCCGTCCGTTTGTCTGTTGAAAACACAATAGAGTCCAAACGGTACAAGCTGGAGAGCTGAAATTTTGCTTACATATTTTTAGTTGATGTAGTTTGTTTGATGTTGAAAATGGACAATATCGGTTCACGATTTAACCTAGCCCCCATATAACGTCCCCTTCAGAAAATGACCAGTATAGCAACGAAATTCTACCTTAACAAGTTTTATGGGAATTTAAATCTCACCGCTCAATTTTATAATGATCGGACCATAACTGACCCTATCCTCCATATAAGGCCCCCGCAGAAAATAACTTTAAAGTTTATAACTTGCTATAAAATTCCAGTATAGCAACGAAATTCGACATATACATGTTTTATAGAAACTAAAATCTCTCTGTCAAATTTAATAAGGATCGGTCAATAATTTACCCTCCATACAAGGTCCCCTTCAAAAATGACTAAAACTCTCTTGTAACTGGCTTCAAAATGCCATTATTAGCGACGAAACTCTAAACGAAAAACTATAATCACCCCACCTAATTTTATAAGGATCGGACCTTGATCGTGTACCATAAAAGCTATTATTCCAAATTCCAATATAGTAACGAAATTCGACATAAATATGTTTTATCGGTAAAATTTAATAGGGATCGGTCTTAAAATTTAGAAAAGAAGAGCAAATTGTGGTAATAAATAACAAAAAGATCAATTCATATAGTATAGGTTGGGTCTATCTGGACCGATTCTCATAAAATTATGTACGGAGATTTTGGTTCATACAAAACTTGTTTATGTTGATTTTTAAAGTGTTAAAGAGTGTTCTGAAGAGGACTGTTTATGGAGATTAAGGTCAATGGACCGATCATCATACAATTTTTTAAATAGATTTTAGCTGGTATACAACTTGTATATGTTAAATTTCATTGCTATACTCGATATACAGTTATGACTGTTATAAACGTTTTTCGGGGGCTATCTGAAAACGTGGACCAATATTCTTCCTTTTCAATACCAAACAAACCTTACAGGAAATATTTGTGGAAACCTATAGAAAATATTTATGGAAAATTTCAACCCTTTAGCTCTTTTCACAGACAGACGGACGGACATACGGACATGGCTCGATCGTGTAAATAAATGTGAGGCCCTCCATCAAATGATCTAATAATCTTTGGTTCCAAATTCAAATACTAAAGAGGGAATAAAGCTGTATGCCTAAAATTTACTCTAAAATTCTCTGCCAATAGCAACAACCAAAACAGGGTAAAAGTAACCAATCATTTATATAACACTCTGTAAACTGTAATATTTTCTCCTCCTTAGACCCACAGTGACTTGACAATAATGCAAATTAAAAGCATATTATAAATGTATGCAGTTTTTAAGCTTTTATCAAATTATTGTATTGCAGAAATATTACGATCTAGTAGTAGAGACGTATCTCTTCAAAGACCGCAGACAAACATAAAAACCGACAGAGCGACAGCAAAGTATAGAAGAAAATATATAGAAAGACGTGTATGGAGAAAACATGGAATCAAATCTTATTATGCACATGAATGAAAATGAATGTATAGACAGACATAAGCGTACAATAATTATACGACAACTACATATTACGTTGTTGTCTGCTGCACAGTGTAACTGCAATATTGTTGTAATACATTGTTTTGACGCTACACGTGTAAAATATTTCTTTAAAAAAAAAAGTTGCCAATATTTACCTGACTGCCTTTTTTACGTAGTTACTTGTAAAATAAAATATATAAATATTTAAATTTTTAATTTCCATATGTATTTTTTTGCTCGCTTATTTTCTAAATACATTAAATAGAACGCATTTAATAATGTATGTATATTCAATGCATGTGTTCTATGGAGAGTAGAGAGATTGTTGTTTAATTAAGTAAAATAGAATAAAAAATATAAAAAAATATATTAATAAATTTTGAATAAATTAATAAAAAATCTACTCGTGTTATAATTAAATTGTATAATAAATATAAATTTTCTATATTTAATTCTCGGGAAAAAAAATAGCATAAAATTTCTATAACCAAATTTTGATTTTCATGTTGTTGCATTAACAAAAAAAAAAAATTAAGACATGCTATCATCCTATAGACCGGGTATTCTAAAATGAAATGAGAATTCTATTTTTTTTTATTTGCTGGCAACATGCAATAATTGTTCAATGGTGTAAAAAGCCACATAAAAATGTAAAGGTTTTTTTTATTGTTGTTGTAAAATTATTACCTTGAAAAGCCCGTTCGAACAATTAGTTGGAACAGACAAGAAGTAGGGTGTGTTATTCGTGGCTTGGTGGTAGCTTGACTTGGGTATAATAGGTATCTTTTTAAGCTACACTTGTGATTTTAATTATAAGTATTATGGTTTAAATTATAAGGTGAAAATGCTTCTAAAGATTTAAAATGCATTAATACCAAATTAAATTACATTTAATAAAATGGATTATGAAGGACCATATCATTGTGGCACGTAAGACCAGAAAACATGTTAATTTTTAGGCCCCTGTTAGTGTGAAGATGTAAGCTAGTATGTTTCAATATTATTACAACCACACATATACAAATAATTGTCCTTCCTTTATACTCT